AAATTATAATAAAAAGTTATTTTATATCCAAAAAATTAATTTTCGTTAAATAAAATGCACTCAAGAAATGTTTCAAACCGATAAAAATATTTTTTAATTCATTTTTAATTCATTTTTGTCATAAGGGTGGTTGTAAGGGTTGAAAATGTCCAATAAATAAAATATTATTGTATAGCTAGGGTATTAATTTTTATTTGTATTTAAATACATAATTGAAATGTCTCAAGCTGCTACGACTTTTTTTTCATATTATTTTTATAAAAAGTATTAGCTTTTAAGGGTTTTTAAAGGATTTTAAGGGTTGAAAATTGTGAATAATTAATTTTCATATTAGAGAACACATTACAATATTTACCTTATGCGAATAAACAAGATTTAAGTGCATAAAATAATTAAATCCGTGTTTTTCCCAGTTTCTTCAATAAGGGTAGTTTTCACCCCTTAAAAACAAAAAGCGCACCTAGAGCGTATATAACTTTTGAAGTGGATGGTAAGATAAGCTTAATTTGAAATTTTCAAAGAAATCGATGCAGTTATAAAAAATGCGGAGGTATTACCATATTTTAAGCCTCAGTACTGGAGTATATGGTTGATTTCATTAAATGTAGTAAAGAAAACCGTTTAAAAAACAGTTATAATGTAATCTCAAGTACAAATCTAGCTATGTTTATTCTTATCTATGTTTATTCAATGATTGAGAAGTGAGTAATACAATAACTGTTTTCTTATTTTTATTAAAAAATTGTTCAAATATCCGTTAAAATATATTAATTCGCTTGCCATTCGTAAATATTTGTAAAATAAAAAATATGTTTTCAAATATATTAAACTCAACTTTGTAAATAGAGACCGATAAAAACAAAAACACAAGAAGAGTAAGCTATATTTGAGAAATCTCGTTACAGAGATGGACGAAGTCGTTTATTTTTTCAGGTAAGACTTTAAAAAGGATCATGGACATGAAGTAAATAATCTCGATTTTATGTCCGAGGTGAGTTCGACAACCAGATTTTGTCCACAATATATATATATATATATATATATATATATATATATATAATATATATATATATATATATATATACCCAATAGTAGCGTAAGTGGAATAGGACGGGTGAAGAGAGTGATTTGTATGGGCCCAGCCGTTCGTAATGGAGGCGGCGCTATTAGTCACGTTAGATGGTGGGTATGACATAGCAAAAGATTTATGACGTTATGACGTTGATTTAAGTGCTGTTGCCATGGTTTCACTAGTTTTGCATATTTTTACCCAAATAATGATTATACTTTACACTGTTTTCAAAAAAAAATATAGGTATAGTAAATTCTACTACAATCACCACTTAAATTTACAATAACTTATTTTTAAAGAATTATGAGTATCCACCAAAAAAAAAGTTTAGAAAAAGGCGATAAAAACAGTATGCATCAATTTTTATATATCCAATAAACACTGCTTAAAGAGAAGAAGATACATTACCAAAATGGTATAGTATTCCCAATCAAAATAATATTTTTTGTTGATGGGTGAAAGTTAAATTTGAACAAATGGCTATTAAACATTCTGAGGATTAGCAGTTTATTTTTTCAAGCACCAGGTAATAACAGCACCTAATTATACCTAACTTTTATTAGTAATATAAACCCGATACTATTTTGTACATTTTGTTATTTGGTTTTTGTAGTTAAATTACCTTTAAATCTTAACCAACATTAATGTTATATTTATAAACTATGTGTATATATAGTTTAAAATCATTAAAACTCTTAACTCTTTACATTGCACTCCTAAAATTGACCTTTTATATAAAAAAAAGTGCATTCCTAAAATTGACCTTATTTTATAAAAAAAAAGTCATACATTCTAAATTTTAATAATATTACATTCTTTTAAATTTTCATAGATCTTCTACTTCTGAGCAAGAGATACATGGTGTTACATGCTAATTTGTGATGATCCTGAAGAGGAAGATCGCATATGCTAGAGTTTACACTTTTTTATTATCTACAGATGGTACTTTTGTTGCCGAGAGGGGGCATTTGGGCCTGTAGGACCCATCGCCGGCTCTTCGGACTTCTTCCTGTCCCCGGAATTTGATCGGGTGTTGACCATCTTTGCTTGTCGCTGGTAAAACGTGTTAATACTGCTACTGGTATAAAATAACAGTTACCGTGACAAGTATCTGTTATAGGTAACAGTTCCAAGGAACAGTTACAAAATAGCAGATCAAAATAGAAAACAGAACAGGTAAAATAATCTAAGTATTCTTTGACTTACGAAAGAAATAACTTAGTAAACAAGGAAATAAAATGGTATATATAAAATACAATGCACAGAAAATGTTTCTAATTGTTTCTTGACTTACGGAAGAGACAACTTAGAATGAGAAGTAAAATACACAAGAATAAAAGAACAGAAAAGTGTAGAAATATTCCTAAGTGTTTCTTGACTTACGGAAGAAACAACTTAAGACAGAAATATAGATAAATGAAATATGTAAATATGAAACAATGTATGGAAATATTTCTAAGCGTTTCTTAGAACAAAAAAACAAACAAGAGAATCAAATATAGTAAAATAAGAATACAAATATTTGTAAGTGTTTCTTGACTTACGGAAGAAACAACTTATAATAAGAAAATCAAATACAGAAAAGATATGGAAATATTGCTAAGTGTTTCTTGACTTACGGAAGAAACAACTCAGCATGAAATGGTAAAATAAAAGAGACAAATATATTAAGAAAATATCTTAGATAAATATCGGAAATAATAATGCAATAATGATTATGAAAATATTTCTAAGTGTTCTTTTGACTTACCGGAAAAGAATGACTTAGGCACACAATAAAATTAACAAGTCAAATATCAGAGAAATATTTCTAAGAGTTCTTTGACTTACCGGAAAGAACTACTTAGACACAAAGTACAAAATCAAATTTATAAAATAGAAAAAAGTAAGGTAAATATTTCTAAGTGTTCTTAACTTACGGAAGAACAACTTAGATACAAAATACAAGAAAAATAAACAATCAAAATAATCAAATAAAATATCAAATAATCAGTATATGAACAAATATAAGTCAAAGTAATATTCTAACCTGAAAAGGTCTGAATATACAATAATAAAATATAAATGGTTATCAGGAAATAAGAAATAAAACAATAACTTAGTTGGAACAATAATAGCACCGACTAGGTCTACAGTAGAAGAGGCAAGCTCGACTGACCGATGAGAGAAATTCCGTCTGCTTTTATATAAAACAAATCCTTTGTTTTACTTAGTAAAAGTGGAATTTCCCTACATCGAGTCAATTAGAAATTCGGATTTGCCCACACTTGGAATTTCCAAGTATTTCTCCGAATTTCTAAATGCGTCCGGCACGGCGGTCAGCTTCTCCCTGACACGCCTCTGGAGACACTTTGAAGGCAGAGTATTTTAGAAGGTATGGAACTTACAACAAACCATTACTAATGAATATAAAGCTATCTATATTTGTATATCAAAAGGAAGATCTCCAACATGATGGGAAGATTAAATGAAGATTGGTGGAAAAATCCCTTCATGAAGTTATCCATCTAGTACAAAATTGCAGCCAATTGAGACAGCAAGCTAATAATATTTAAAGTGTCACCACCAACACCTTAACAAGAGCTCAAGAAATAAGGAGGAGGAGGATATTTGTTGCCAATACTTTACCAAAAAAAATTATATAAATAAACAAGTGTCAGGATGTCTGTCTCTGACTCTAGTTTGTTAATGTAATGGAAAACAGATATAATCATAAAATATTTAATAAAAACTTTCCTGTACTATAATATATACTCTCTCTATATCAGATATTATACATTTATATATAAAAATGTGTAAGTGAATACTTGGATGGAGAAAGATTAGGTAAATCACCTAAGGTTTGCAGATGATGTTGTATTAATCGCAGATAACTTACAAGATACAGTTTCTATGATGCATTCGCTTAAAAGTCTGTCTGAAAGAGCAGGATTAAAGATAAACTTTGAGAAAACTAAAATTATAACAAATCTCGTAATGAGTGGAAATATAACTATTGACAATAATACCATACAACAAACAGACACTTACAAATATCTGGGACACGAAATCAAAATAAGCAGAGACAATCAAACACATGAAATACAGAGGCGAATAGGTCTAACATGGGCAGCATTTGGCAAATTAAGCCATATTCTAAAAAGTTCAATTCCCATGTGTCTCAAGCGAAAGGTTTATAACCAATGTGTTTTACCTGTACAAACTTATGGAGCAGAGACTTTAACACTCACGCAAAAATCTGCGAATAAACTTAGAGTTACACAACGAGCCATGGAACGTGCAATGCTGAACGTGAGCCTTCGAGACCACATAACAAACCAACAAATCAGGCGAAGATCAGGAGTTCAAGACGTCATCGAAAGAACCACGACGCTTAAGTGGAACTGGGCAGGGCACTTAGCCAGAACACAAGATGGACGGTGGACAAGACGTATTATGGAATGGAGGCCCAGAAATTATAAAAGAAGCCGAGGACGACCACCGACTAGATGGACCGATGACATTAAACGTGTAGCGGGAAACTGGCTACAAGCGGCCCAGTGTAGAGAACACTGGAAAGAACTGAGGGAGGCATATGTCCAGCAGTGGACGCGATTGGCTGATTGATGAAGTGAATACTACATTTTTGAACAGAGAGAATATATTTTTTGGCAGAGAATAAGTATTTATTTTCTATTTTATGACTATATTTACTTTCCATTAAAAGAACTTTCCACTAAATTTCAGAAGCTACGTTTTGAATTTGCCGCCAAATGAAATTAATTTCGGCCAGTCCGTATTTGGCGCTAGAAACTCTCTCCCAACACTTTCTATGGGAGTTACCTTACTAGGTCTGGGAGGTTTATAGGTACTCAGGTATATGCAAAAACAACATTTAAATTTTAATTATTTGGGGCACTTCTTTATTGAAATATCTTTACTGACTCACCTTGGTGATCAAAAAGGTCGAAAGCCTGTTTGAGATCGTCTTTTTGAGACGAACTTAAAATAAACTTTGGTGGTAATTTTTTTCTAGTAGTTTCTTTATCTACTGTAGTGGTCTGCTGAAATAAAGCCTAAAATAAAAATATTTGTTATTTGATATGATTTAAAAAGAAACGTACCATTAAAAATCGTATTATAATATAGAGCTATCATAAAAAGAGTGAATGTCAAATGTATTTGACAAATGTGTCAGTCACTATATAACCAAATTGTTAAAATGGGCTCAATTAATAGTTAGCGCTTTTTTGTTTATTTATTGTTTTTTATTAGAATAACAGCACAATGATACTAGAGAGTCAGACGGAATTAACGGCACTGAAATCGAACCAAGACCAAGGGTTAGGCAAAACGTAACAATTAACGAATATAACTTCGAAGTCGTCAAAGAGTTTAAGTATCTGGGAGCGATCATAACATCTGAAAACAAATATGAAAATGACGTGGCAGCCAGGATAATAGCAGGAAACAGGACATATTACTCTTTAATGACCATCTTTAAATCAAAAATACTCTCAAGATCAGCAAAAATAAGAGTATACAAGACAATAATTCGACCCACAATAACGTATGGAAGCGAGACATGGACGCTGAATCAGCGGGAAACGACAAAAGTACTGCTTCTTAAAAGAAAGATACTGCGGACTATCTATGGGCCTTGTAGAGAAGAAACAACAAGAGAGTAGAGAAGGAGACACAATAATGAACTCCAGACAAACCGAATAAGATGGACGGGCCACGTCCTAAGGTCAAATAACGAAAGACTTCTGAACACCACATTCTGGGAAAGGCCCGATGCCCGATGGCAGAAGGTTAATTGGCCGCCCAAGAAAGAGATGGAAGTCCGCTATTTTGTTATCTGCAATGCCAATTCGGGAGGGAATCAATATAAGTCTGATACTCCTAGAATTTTCTTGAGCCTACACGAGTTCTAGTTTATCAGTTTCTTTGACCTTTGAGATAGATCTGTTTAAAGGTTTGAAGTACGCTTAGTGAATAATTTAACCCTTTACTGCATGTTTTTTTGTTTTTTGTCAAAAATAAATTCTTAGATAAAAATTTTAATTAAATTTTTACTTAAAAATATTTAAAAAATCTAGCTACGAGGAACATTTTATTGACAAAAAAAATTTTGGTGTCAAATATAGAACATCATGCAACAATGTAATATTAAAGTCAAACTATTTTGAAGCTACAGTATTCACTATACAGTATGAAACTGCAAATAACTATATGTTTTCTCTGTACAGCCTGGCAACTTGCATCTTGCCCTAGTGCTCTCATACCACTCGGTAAAATGATAAGCCCATCTTTACGGATGTCTCCTTGGGGTATTTCTTTAGTGGGTCCCTTTTTTCGTTTGTTCTCGAACATCTGCTGAATGCTACTTTTTGACGGTCTTCCTACTTGGTTCTGTTTAATTGGTTTTCCGGCTTTGCTTAGAGCATCGGCTATTGCTAGTTTGGTATCCAAATGGGGTAAATCAAATTTCTTCGTTCTTTTGGCTAATAACCCACAGTTCACGGCTGTCCTGTCAATGAAATGAAACAATATTCGTAAATAATATTTCTTCAACCTGAGTTTTATACGATAAAATCCTAACATGGAATCAAGGAGATTCACACCTCCCATGTAATTGTTGTAGATTAGGACAAGGTATGTATACTTTCTTGTCTGAAAAATCTTCTTTTTTCGCCCCTTGGTTCACTTCCAGCATAATATGTTGGCATTATACTAACGATTTTATTATCAAATCAGGACACTACACTGACACTTACATTGTCTATATTGATTATTTTTTCTACCATATGGCCTCTGCCACGCTTCTTCATTTCTTTTTCAGCTGGCATCACAACTCCAGGATCAAGAATAAGTCTGTTCCCAAAGGGAAAATGCCCTCTTTGGTCAGATATATCATAAGAGGTATGCTGGTGAACCAATTGTCAAAAAACAACTTGTAATGTTGATGTGTTGGTATTGAATCTGCTAATTTAACAACCACTTTGCTGCTCATACTAAAATTTGGTGCTCCTAGAGGTACAATATTACTCTGGGAACCAGCAAACAAATTAAAGTCATAGCTGAATCCCGAAATACCACTCAACACAAAGTTTTTGAAGTCCGACTTATGTGGTTTTTTTCATTTTTTTGGGTTATACTGGTTTAGCTGGCTTCGCGCTTTTTTTGATATAATCTGTTCATCTACAGCTAGAAATTCTTTTTTCGGAACCATGAGTAGTTGTTCTGTGATTTGTCTCAGAACAGGTCTAATTTTGAATAATCTGTCATGTCCAGGCTGATAATTTTCAATCATGTCATCATTATTATTGAAATGCAAGAAACTTTTTATTTCTTCGAATCTGTTACAGCTCATCATATCGCTAACTGTTGGGTAGTGTCTTGTTGGTGGAAGTTGAATTTTTCTATTTCATATTTTTTGATATTAGCTGGTTTATCTGGATGTTGTTGCACTAAGCATAAATTTGATTGGTCTGTAATATGCTTTATAAGACTATTAGGAAAGAGAAACTTAAAAAATTAGACCGTAGTTTCCAACTGTAAAATCGAAGAAGGTAAATTTTCAGAACCAGTAAATTTTGTATCATTTTCTGATCTTCTCAGATTTCCTTTCACCCAATTATGAGATTTCTTCCTTTTATATCGTAGTCTTTCAGACAAAGCGGTATCATCATCTGAGGAATCTGAGGATGTGGCAGAAATGACAGTTTCCTTGACATTGCTTGGTAAATTTTCACGCTCCTCATTGTCACTATCTTGACACAATACTATCTCATTTGTGTCGTCTTCATCGGAGAGATCTGATTCTTCACTATTAGTACTATTTGGAATTCTAACTGCAGTCATTATACCATAAAAGAGTTCAAAAACAATCAATGAGTCCATAACTTCATAGTGTGACATATATAGCACAAATCCTCTTTGGGGTTTTCGAGAGACTTCCAATAATCTTAGTTTTTATTACTTACCTTAGCAGATATCTAATATTACAATACAATTAATTTCAATTTTTTTTCGCCGTAAAAAACGTTTTTAGTATGAAAAATAACCTCTAACTTCGAGCACTGTTTCATGCAGTTTAGAATTTCAACAAGAAGGAACTTGGAACTGCGCACGGCTGCCTATCTCGTCGTCAGAACTGTTGGCGTACACTATTATTACTTATCAGATATGGGATGCCCTGCAGCTATGACAATGTAGCGACCTGGAACGTCAGAAGCCTTTATGAGGCTGGAAAGCTAGCAAACGTGTGCCAAGAAATGAACAGATTGAATATAGATATTTTAGGTATGAGTGAAGTTAGATGGCCTAACTCAGGAACAACAAAAATTATGAACAAAACACTCTTTTATTTAGGCAACAATGATCCAAAACATTTCAATGGAGTAGGTGTAATAATAAACGATGAATTGAGTAACGCAGTTTCAAACTTTATACCACTCTCTGACAGAGCAATGCTGTTGCAAATAAGGAGTTCTCCTTTTAATGTGAATATTATTCAGGTCTATGCACCAACCGCAGATAAGCCAGATGACATACTAGAAGAATGGTATGAAGATCTACAAAAGCTCATGAAATTGACAAAGAAAGAAGATATTAACATCGTCCTAGGAAATTTTAACGCTAAAATAGGAAGAGGGAAATTCCAAAATATCGTAGGAGAATACGGACTAGGAGAACGAAATGAAAGAGGAGACAGACAATTAGAGTTTTGCCAGCAACACAATATGATAGCAACAAACACTTGGTTTAAGTTACCTCAACGTAGGTTATACACCTGGACTTCCCCGCTACACACAAAAGAAAGAATAATAAGAAATCAAATAGATTATGTTTTAATCAACCAACGATTTCGTAACTCCATTACAAGTACAAAAACATATCCTAGTGCTGATGCAAATTCCGACCACAACCCTGTAGTAGCAAATATTCGCACAAGAATTAAAGTAATAAAAAATGCAAAGCCGAAGAACAAACCTAATATGGAACTACTAAAAGATGTACAGATTAAAGATAAAACCACTGTAAAACTAAATGAAAAACTCTCAGAAATAGACCGAACCCAAATAAATATCCAAAATATAAATACAACTTGGCAACAAATAAAATCCATCCTCGTCAATTCTGCAAGGGAAGAAATTCCAAATACACGATTAATGGCAAAAAAAGACTGGATGACACCAGCTATTCTAAAGATGATAGACGAAAGGAGGAAATACAAAAATAAGAACACAATCGATTACAAACGATTAAATACAGAAATACGAAGGAAAATAAAAGAATCAAAAGAGAAATGGCTCGAAGAAAAATGTAAAGAAATAGAAGAATTAGAACATAGACATGATTACTTTAATATGTACAAGAAGGTGAAAGAATTTTCATTCATCCACAAAAAACAACATTGCCCACTGGTAAATAACAACGGAGAGTTAATTCATAACACCAAAGATAAAATAGAAGAATGGGAAAAATTTATACAACAGCTGTTCCGAGATGAAAGAATAGACACATTACAATAAATAATGTTACTGAAAGCCCACCAATTCTAAAAGTCGAAGTGGAATATGCCATTAAACAATTAAAGACCAACAAAAGCCCTGGACCTGATGAAGTTTATCCTGAAATACTTAAATTGATCGAAAGTAATAACATTGATTTGTTAGTAATTTTGTTTAATACAATCTACGATACTGGGGAAATACCAGAGGAATGGTTAGAATCTATTTTTATTCCCATTCCAAAACAAGCTAACTCCAGGCGATGCGCAGATTTTAGATTAATAAGTCTTATGAGCCAAGTGCTTAAAATTCTATTAAAAATACTTCACAATAGGGTATACAAAAGGTGTGAAAAAGAAGTTGGATACGATCAATTTGGATTCAGAGCCGGAATGGGGACCAGAGAGGCCTTGTTTTCACTACAAGTACTGCTGCAGAAGTGTTACGACCAACAAAAGGATGTCTTTCTATGTTTTGTAGACTTTGAAAAGGCATTTGATCGCGTAAACCATAATAAAATGTTAAATTCCTTGCAGAGCATCAACTTGGATAGTAAAGATCTCCGATTAATTAAGAACTTATATTGGAGGCAGAGTGCCAAGATTAGGATCGACGATCATACATCTAGAAATATTAGTATAAATAAAGGAGTAAGGCAAGGATGCATACTATCCCCTATGCTGTTCAATCTTTACTCGGAACTACTATTCAAGCAAGCCTTGGAAAACCTTTCCACAGGAATAAAAATTAATGGAGAACCAATATCTAGCATAAGATATGCAGATGACACTGTCCTACTGGCTGATACAGACACAAACTTACAGGGGGTTATAGACCACCTTAAGGATGCTTGTCGAGAGTTTGGAATGAAGATCAACGAAAAAAAAACAAAAGTAATGGTGATCCAAAGAAAACAGAATATCCCCTTACCTATAAAAATAAATGGGAACATTTTAGAACAGGTAAACCAATACAAATACCTTGGCTGTTGGATTAATTGCAAGCTGGACCCAGAACAAGAAATTAAAGCGAGAATTGCTCAAGCTAGGGATAGTTTCTTTAAGATGCGCGTTCTATTCTGCGATACACATATAAATATTAAATTGAGATTAAAACTTGTAAAATGTTTTATCTGGTCTGTTCTTCTCTACGGAGTCGAAACGTGGACTTTAAAAATAAAGAGCCTGAATAGAATCGAGGCATTTGAAATGTCGGTGTACCGTAGAATTTTAAAAATTCCTTGGACAGCACGAAAAACAAATGAAGAAGTACTAGCTAGACTCAATTTAGAAAAAGAACTATTGAGAACAGTCAAAAGAAGAAAAACCAGTTATTTAGGGCATTTGTTGCGCAACGAGAAATACTACATCCCTCAGTTGATAATAAAAGGCAAAATAGAAGGAAAGCGAGGAATTGGAAGAAAAAAATTGTCCTGGTTACGTAATATCAGAAACTGGACAGGACTTGGATTTGAGGAACTCTTAAGAGCAGCTGAAGATAGACAAACGTTTGCCACCATAACCGCTAACCTCCATTGATGGAGACGGCACTTGAAGAAGAAGAAGAATAGCTTTGAGCACTGCATATACCTTAGCGGAGAAAATCGTAAAGTAGTTTGAGAGACGAAATTGATATGTCGAGGCCTGAGAACCATAGGGTTCCAAGCGACATTTACAAAAATGTTCAGGAAACGAGTTTTGCTGTTAGGTAAAACGGTTTTGACAAAATTATACTTTGCCAGATATGTTATTATTGTATATTATTGTTTAAGGATTTGATAATACAGTAATTCATAAAACAATGCTGTCGTTGTGGTATAAAATGCAAATTTTATGGTTTTTTCAGAATGTTACACTTATACTTGGAACCTTATGGCATTGTAACAATAATAGCCTATACAATGATGTTGGAAGAATTTTGAAAAACATAGAAAAAAGAAAATTAACGAAGAGTAGAAAATTAACTTTTATTTTATAAACTATTTCGTTTCAGACATTAAACATTTCATATAATACTGATCTTCCAGTGGCATCCATTTATACGCAAACTCAATATGCTCAAGCTTTTTGGTAGTCAGAGATTTGTGTTTTGTGTTATCAGCCGGAGCTACTACAAAGTCAGCAGTGAAACTACTTATGGGAACCACTCTTTGTTTCTTCCTAGTACTGCTGGTAAACATTGACTGTAGAAAAATCAACGCTGTGATCATCCAGCTTATACTGAACAGTAAACATGTCTCCTTGCCAAAACGTAATTGACAAACTTTAGTGTAAGGTGTTTTATTATATTAGTATAATGATGCTGTTTTTTTTTGAAGTTTTTAAAGTGTGTTGGTTTCATATTAATCACACAGAATGGCTTTCGTCTGTTAACTTTTGACAAAAGTCTAACAAGCGCTAGTGGAGACCAAATATCCGTAACCTTCATAGCTTTTTCTATTTGAGAATGGATATTATTGACAACCTGTATGCACGAATGATCAGGTATGGAGTATCTCATAGTTACTATTTGATATTAGGTTGTTTGTTCAGGAAGTCAGTGATTACTACTGACATCAGGGAGTTCCTGTTCTGAGGAACTCAACTTGTTTACTCCATCATATGTTTTAAGTCGATTTCATGCATTTTTTCCGATGCGGCAACGTAGCTGCGTATGCAGATATAATATGTCATATGTGAAGATAAGGAGAGTCCCTAAAAGCGAGCGGGACAATACTTATTAACGGTCATATTTAATGTATTGTGTTAATTCAAGTAAAGTCAGTTTTTCACACGGAGTTTGATTATTTACCAGCGGCACATTCGAAGTGCAATTCAAGTTGCATTCACAACTATCACTCCACGTGATTATCTCATTTATTTCCTGATGTTATCTCAAAATACTAGTATTTTGAGAACGATTTTCGAAGTGGAAATTGAAACGTCAATAAACGTACTTTAACCTTTAATTGTGGCCTATTCCCATTTAAATAGCAATTACTTTAAAATGCTACAAGAAAATAGCTTCGGAACAATATTAAGGAGGTGAATTAACGTTTGGTTTATCTATCATTTAATTGTGGATGAACTTTAGTTAGCATATGGACTAATCCCAACAGGTCAGACGTAAACTCTTGAATTATGTTAGAAGGAACTTGCATGCCGATAACATTGCTTAGAAGTAGATTCAGTTGGTCAAAATTGAGAACAAATGTGGATGAATAATTTTGGATAAAATATATGGAGACTCAAGGTCATATGATTTTGTTGATTGTATGGATGTATGCTCCTCGTTACTTTTAACCTTCTTGACTCTAGGTTTGGATGAAGGAACAGCATATGGTTTTTCTGTATGACTTTTTTCTGGAGACGTAAGAATATCATTGATACTACAATTCGGCTGAAGATCGATATTAATTACTTTGCAGCTTTCCATGGTGTTACCTTCTCCTTGAACATTATCTCTGTTAGGATTACTCAGATTATTTGCTTATGTTTCTTCGATGGAAATTTGTTCGTTTGATATGAATGTATCTCAAGGTTGATACATGATTTCAAAGAAAGAAGAAGTAGTGGGTTGATTGCTATTTGAATCAATTAAACTTGTTGTTAATTCCAGTTTATCGGGAAAGTTGGTGGCGATGTGTCCAGATTTTTTGCAGTTATAACAGGCCTTAGTTTCTTGAGATAAGAATATTTGATATTTTGTATCATCGTAGTCTAAAGTGAATGAGTTGGGCAAGGAAATATTATAGGGACTAACGTATATTTGTCTTCTGAAATTCAAAATATAATTATATTCGGGAAGAGTGAAACTGATTTTTAGAAAAGTGACAGGAGAGACCATTTTAAGTCCAATATTTTGTAGATAAACAATCAACTGACTGTTTGGTATTGTTGGACATACCTTTTGAGAAAACAAATTGTTCTGGATTTTTATTTGTCCATGGTTTTGCATGAATTCGTCCCCGATTTGTTTATAAGATAGTATAGTGCCCCCCGATAAGACAGTGCAGAAAAAAATATAATATATTGGGATGAATTAGGTTACCCAAAGGAATTAAGTAATCTTGCAGTCGCGTATTTTCTACAGCGCTGAATACAATTGCTTGATGGTTTGAGGGAAGTTGTGTAGAAGTTGCCGATAAATAGGTTTTATTAGTATTTGTCTGTATTGGCGATACATGTGGTGCGTTAGAGAGACTTTGAATATTAAGTTACATTTTTTATTTTAACACGGGACATGTGTTCAAAAATAATACGGACCTGTTTAGTAATTAACAGGAAATAAAACTGGAATAAATGTTTCTTAGGTCATACCTTATTGATGGTTGATACGTTACAAACAACCAAAAACTAGTTTATCACGGTATATAAGTCAAAGAAACTTTTACTTCCAAGATATTCACGAATTTATTGACATAGAAATTAATGAATAAATTCATGAAATTCGTTGCAAATTCATGAATTATTGTTGGTGTAAAGCCCGTATTAATCAACACTAATATGATGTGTTCACTTTCGGTGGCTCATTCAGGCATAAAGTCAATTTATTTTGTGCCTACCACATGCTGATTTAAAATTTACAATTTTGCTTTTAAAAATTATTTATCTATTAATAATAGGTACATTCATAGATAAATAATATAGTATATAATAGAAATATGTGGGTATGTTATTAAAATTATTTAAATGTTCTTTTGTGGTGTCTTAGGCAGAGAACACGAAGAAATACCACAGAACCGAAAGCTAATCTCACGCTAACTTCAAACAGGAAAAGTCATTTTTAACCTAACAATCATAGATAATACAAATACAAATAAACAGAATACACAGATATAATTTCAACTTCAACGTGCAGTGAACCCAGTTAAAGTTAATCACAGTGATAAAGTAAAAATAATAAAGTTTTGTGGTTAGTGTTTTGTAATCGTTTTATTATGATCCGATAGTAAATGTAAATGCTATTCAAACTATTTTTAAACACAGTAACGTCAAGACTGAGATTATATTCAAGTATGTCGTCTTTAAAAGAAGCTAAAAGACTAGCAGCATATAAAGCAGTAGATGAACATGTGAAAGATGGACACATTGTTGGTGTTGGTAGTGGATCTACGGCTGTGTTTGCAGTTGATAGACTTGCAGAACGTTATCATAAAGAAAAAATTAATATAAAATGCGTTCCTACATCTTTTCAATCGAGACAATTGGTACTTCAAAATCAACTTCCCTTGGCAGATTTAGATCTTTACCCCCAATTAGATGTTTGCATTGATGGAGCTGACGAAGTTGATGCCAACATGGTTTTGATAAAAGGTGGAGGCGGTTGTTTGCTACAAGAAAAAATTGTCGCCAGTTGTTCAAAAAAACTTGTTGTTATTGCTGATTATACCAAGGATTCTGAGAAGTTGGGACAACAGTACAAAAAAGGTAATATATTTTGTACATTTTTGGTGGGAAAACATTGTTATTTTTTGTATTACATCTTTCTTTATTCTTTATATGTCACTAAGTTAGTGCTTCATATGTAAATGATAGTGATTCAGAGTGATAAAGTATTCTTGTACTTTGTGCCTAAATAGTAGACACAAACTAGGTGTATTTTCACAGTTTAAGAGCTAAGAATTAAATATCTGATATTGATCATATTTTAAAAATATATCCAAGGTTCATGATCACAACCTGGACAAATAACATACTCTATAACTAAATAACATACTCATACATAACTAGATATGACAGCTTTGAGGGTCTGCTAGGTATATAATTTCATTAGATGATAATTTATAATAATTCCTGAATAATATACCTTGTACTAACCACAATTTTGGAATGCAATTGAATAACTGTCAATACTTAATACATATGTATGGATACATATCTAACATACTGAATTGTCTATACAATATACCGCTTAATCCCTGTTCTGGCAGAAGGGTTTCTCATCAGAAATGTCAATAAATTAAAATGCCTCTTTTTCACTGCAATTTTTTTTACTAAAGAATTTACTGTGAACCGAAAATGTATTCATGTAATATACACTGGATAACACAGAAGAAATTCCTAAAGAAAATCCATTATATGCCCAATCCACAAGAAATAAGGTAAGAGCGGTTGTAAAAACTACATATCCTTACCCTGTGTGGGCTATAAGGTATTTACATGGGTCATAAACAGGAGATTAGGTCACTTCACAGAGCAAATTATATGATAATATCTGGCCAGATTTATACCAGGATTATCTACTACTTATTGACCAATTTTTCAATGTAGAACACATATTAGCTAAAACCTAGGAACATGATATAGATATGTACCAGATCTTCACATATACCAATAATTCCTTGATATACTAATAATATTGGTATACCAAGAAAATTGATAAAAAAAATAGCCCCAGTCAGTTTCCCTGGGCTAGAGTGTGCATCAACACTAGCTACTTAAAACAGGGTTAAATATGCAAATGGCACCTGAACCTGTCCAAAAGGATCTCCCTGTCAAGAATGTCATATTATGATATTATTATTATTATTATTGATTAAAAAGTCAATAATTAGCTAAAACCAGGAAGATGGACCTACTCCTGCTTTGTTTCACATTTGTATGGAATATGTCATGGATGTATTGTCCATGGAATATGTTATAAGAAAAATGTCTGCAAACTAAAAAATATATTGTTTAGTAAGTCTAAACATGTTGTGGTGTTCACAGGCAATGTAAACTTGATGGCCTGAACTTTGAGAGATATCAACAAACTTAAATTAAATCCTTGTGCAAATAAGACAGCAATGAAGTATACACAATTTGATAATACATTGATACAATACATTGATACAATATACAAACATTGAAATGAACAATTTACATACATGAATCTACAGGTACTTACTTAATTAAGCATTACTGCAAGTAGGAGGAAATATGGAGAAAGATTATGCTAGTTAACAGAGCATATTTTGCTTTATAACATGTATTTCGATCCAAAGATATCCATAGGGAAGTAAAGGTCAAAATGTATAAAACCATCATACAACCAATAGCCACATATGAATCAGCAGAAAAAACAATAAACTTTATTAATACCTTAATGCAATATTACTTACCTTTCTTATCACGTCATCTAGAAGAATGTATAATAACAGCACACTAAGTGGAGCTATAGTGTGGTGCTGATCATTAGTAAGACCAAAGAAGAGGTTGTTAGATGAAGTGAGCACTAAGACTAGATAGATGTTAATGGTGGTTAACTAGTTCAGCCAAAGAAAGAAATGCTTGCATGGGCACCGCAAGGATTTTTTCAGGGGTTGCATCTACTGCATCTACTCATACTATTAACCAATATAAAATATTTAGCTATACACATATAGCTATGTACTTTTTTTCTAAACAGGGGGTTGCAATTGCACACTATGCCGGGCCCATGAATGTTTGGAGACAAGTTCTGAACAAAGACAGGCCCCAATTTGACCTTGGTACCATTGGAGGTACACAGACCAAATATAAACATGTAGCTCACGAAAAATTAGTGGGTTAAATTTTGTTAAACACAGTAGTCAAAGTGTTAAAGATATCCATTCCTGAATAATATTTAACCACATTTGTATTTATCTAACATGCAAAACCTAGTCAAATGCTCAAATTTGAAACATATTAAAACAAAAAAATATTAAGTATCCTCAAGGAAAATGAATTCGTGTAGTTGGCTGTAAACCATGAATCAAAAAAATTTTATTTAAAAAATCCTTTATAGAAGATATATAAAAACCCTATCGGACTATATCACAGAACGTTTTTGGAATGACTATTTCATCAGTCAGTGCTATTCTAAAATAAGTATTACCACTTTAATTAAAGCAAACGTTTTAACCAATGTTATAACAAAAATTTAACTAGATTACTCACTAGATTACATTTTTAAAACCACTAAATACATGGGTAAAAACTCTTTTAATATAGTTAAATTAATTTTAGTGTTTATTTTTTTCAGTATCATTACAAATGTTTACAGTAGCCAGTCTGTTGGTATATGCTATGTTTCATATATATTTTATTGAAGAGGTTTAGAAGAGAATGGTTTGCTTTTCATCGTCAAGTTGTTTGATTATTTTGCTGATAATTTCATCTGGACCAGTTGCTTTCCTGCAATTACAAGAGAAGCATTTATGAAACTTAGATCTATTCTGAGCAATTCTCAGCTGAACTTACAGCTGAGAATTAAGTTCCTAAAATATGTGTATCCTGTATTACTGTATGGATGTGAAACCTGGATTATGAAGGTTAACATGATGAACAAATTAGAAGCCTTTGAGATGTGGTTATATCGTAGAATGCTCAGAATATCATGGGTTCAACACATTTCAAACAGAGAAGTCTTGAACAGAGTAGGTCAAGGTGAAGGTGATTTAATAAAGATGATAAAAAAGAGAAAACTCGAATATCTGGGGCATATAATGAGAGGAAGCAGATACAGGATAATGCAGTTGATACTCAACGGAAAGATCGACGGAATAAGAGGAATTGGTAGAAAGAAATACTCAAGGCTCTGAAACCTTCGTCAATTGACTGACTTATCAGCAGATAAATTATTACATGCCGCGCAATATCGAGAACAATATCGGCAAATCGTCATGGAAGCTACCCATGCCTAAAACTTGGGCATGGTACTCAAAGAAGAAGAAGTTGCTTACCTATTATTTGACAGATAGATGAAATCTCTTTCCATTTCATCGAAGGTTATGTTTGGGCCAGTGGATATATCTTTGATTTGTATTTCTGTTCTTTTGCCATCAAACAGTTCCTCAATATATTCCCTCCACCTCTCCAGTTTGTCTTCTTCATTGACTATGATATTTCCTTGTTTATCAAGTAAACTACTTGAAGTTGACCTATATCGTCCAGTTATTTCTTGCACCTGTTTTTACATATTAAATTTGTCATTCCATTCATCCATACCAAAAAAATTTTTGATTAAGAATTGTGCCTTTTGCTCTTCAGGTGCATCTTCAATCTGGCACTGACTGAAGAGCCCCTATAGAAGCAAAACATGTGTTGTGAATGAAAAACACTTTTTGAAAGGAAAGACATACCTGATGAATAATAAGCTACTCTCTATTAAGAAAATTGCAGATGCATTATTTTCTGTTAAAATTCTTTGTGTTCTTAACACACTTTATTATAGTTTATATTACATAATACTACTTATTCAAGGGAATATCAGTATCACAGTCAACTCTTCCTTTAAAAGGAATATCATTCATAAAAAATATGTCTATAAAGACATAAATAATGTATCTTTATATACCCATATTTATGGACACTGGACAAGAAAGCAAGTGACCCTTGTGCTTTCCCTAGTTTACTGATTTCTCCTTCATTTGTATTTATATAGAAAACATTTTTAAGTATATTACACATTTCTTTTACTATTGATTTACCTGATTTGACTAACTAAAGGCATAGCCCAACTCAAAAAAATTGGTTATATTAATTTGGTTAATCAAAGTCAGAACTTGCCACCTTATAATTCAGAATTGCATATTTGCTATATAGTTTTAAACAATTTTCCAGGTATGTTATTTGGATAGGATTTTTACAGTTCTCCATTAATTTGGAAGTTAGTGACAGGTATTCAAATTCCATTAATCCACATTACAAAAGAACCTAGTTAGAGCCAGGCTTAATCAAAATATGAAATTTTATTGAAATTTATTGTATTTGGAAAGGAAGTCACAAATTTTTTTAAGTTGAAAATAAATTTGTATCAGTAGTTACATAATATATCAGAGTTGCTGTCCTAATTTTTATAAATGTTATCACATATGTTTACACATTTGGCTTATTAAGATATACAACTAAATTTTCAAACAAGTATTTTATACCACGTAAAGTAGATAAATTCTACAATAACATTATTAAGAATAAGTGATTATAAATAAATGTATATTTAGGTGTTTTTGACTAGATTAAATATACTGGATTAATATACAAATTGTTCATTGGGGTAAACTGTTAGAAAGTTTCGAGGCAGAAGTTATAAAAAATAAATATTGACTATTAAAAAATTTGGTGATTTCATGACATTATGACTGCAGCTGTTGCATAGTTTATCCCCTTACATATCTAGTAGCTGATTTTTTAAATTCTTACCTCATTTAAACGCATATTTGACGTCAAAGTGATATTAATTACCAGGGTGACGTTATTAGGAAATTATAATGGGAAAAACGGGGTATGTAGACGACATTGTATTAATGACAGATAAAAGAGAAGAATTACAAAATATGATGTATGAATTGAATAGTGAATCAACCAAAATAGGTCTACAAATGAATTATACTAAAACGAAAATTATGACTAACCAACCAGAAGAATTAATAATTACAATTGCACAAACAACTATAGAACAAGTAAAAGAATATGTATATTTGGGA